AAAAAAAAATGCATATATGGCTTGATCAAATTGAGAAACCAAAAAAAAAAAAAAAAAAGGAAATAATAATGTCAATATGAATTTAAGATCCAGTAGATTTTACACTGGGAAATTTTTGGCAGCCAGAATGAGAAATCATCACCAAATACTTATTTTTCAATCTCTAGTAAAGTTAGCATGAAATAAAAGTAAATGTAAAGTGTGATATTTGGTTGGAGAAGTTGTGTAAATTTGTGAAGGAAGCAAAATTTTAGCAAGTAGCAGAAGAGTAGAGGACTGATTTCTGTCATATTTTCTTCTGTCCTTGAGAAAACCAAGAAGATACATTTTAATGTGAACTCATCAGGAAGAGGTTGTTTGCCCACTATGAAAGGAGAAAATGAGCCATTGGTGGCCGTCCCCAAAGATGTGCACCTGCAGATTCTGCCTGCACACAACGCGTAGTCTTGGCTCTGTGCCTCTCCTGTCTCTTTTCTCAGGACGTTGTAGTTACAGACAGTGCCATGAAGGAGTCTACATATCCAGATGAATGTTGATATTGGATATGCATTTAGTCCCAATTTATAGAAATCAAATTGAACATTTTATTCAGTTATTTCTCTATAAACCATTTAATAGTTTTTGTTGAAAATATGCCTACAAAGATATGAAATGTTTCCTGCAGTTCATTCTATCTGTTCTCCGTTTAATTTTGTAATAGGTAAGCAGCAGATAACAAGCGTATTTAATTATTGTCACTAGAAAGGATGCAGATGTCCTTATTTGTGAAAAGCCTCTCCCCACCCCCCACCCCCTGGGGATCTTTTTGGAAAAATTCACTTGGTGCCTATAGATAGGAATGCAACCCGTCCAGTATTCCTTAAGTTAGTTGGTTAACAGAGCAAACCTTTTAAGAAGATAAAAGATAGGGAAAGGACAAATTCTGTGTTTTGTTCCTGTGTGGTCAGACTCAGAGGACTGCCAGCTGAATCATGCCGAGTAATAGTTATTCTGCTTTTGTCCGCTAGGGACTGAACTAAGATCACTGTTATTTTATTTGACAAGTTAACTGAAACTCAGTAGTTTTATAGTTTCCAAATCTGGAATTGTAGTTAATCTTTCTATTGTGTACTACAGTAAAAAAAAAAAAAAAAATCAATAGATACGTAGAAGAATAGAAAGCAAACAGAATTCTGCAGTCTTTTGATAATCATAGCTTAAATTTCAGACGTGAATTACAGTAGCTATTTATAATAAAATATCTTTTTTTTTCCTTTGGCAAAACTTGTTTCCATAGTAAGCAAATGAATTTGGTTGAATTTCTTATTACTATTCTCAATATACTGTTCATATAGTTTTTAATGAGACATCACTCATATTAAATTAGTCTGGATTCTTTGAGAGGGTAGAGAAGGAAATTTAGTCCCAAATTATCTTGAATGAGCTATTCTATCAAAAATGTAATTTTTTTGCATAGAATATATACTTAGAATGGAGATTCAAACACAGTAATGCATGTTTTCTGTTGCTGTGCAATTATTCATCAGTAATAGGGTAAATACATGATTCTACTGGGCTTAAATCATGCACATTTTATATGTTAATTTATTGTGTGAAATAAATTTGATTTTTGTTTACGTTATTCTTGGTCAATGATTATGGTATAGTCTTCAGATTATAGCCAAGCATAAGTATTACATTGACCCTTGCTAGCATGAATCAAGCTGAATATATGCTGAAAATGTCCCTGTTGGTTTGAGTCAGAGCAGTTTGGCTTGACTATTGTCTGTTTAAATTTGCATATCTTTTGTCATTGTTAATGCAATTGGTCTGAGGATTAAGAAACCAAATAATTGCATTCAGCAGAGAACTTGCTAAAGACTCTCATAAGTTTCCCTAATTAGAGGCTTTCTTCACTTCAAGTTCTAAATTTCATGTAATGTATTTATTTTGATAATTCAAATGGAAATCTTTTTACTGTAACCATTTGATGTTCTTAATACTGGAATCTGTACTACTTCTATTTTGAGTCCAAGCAGTTGTGTCAGGATAAGAAGCAATGTACCACAGAAACTGAGGCTATCAGTGTAAGTGCAATTAATTCATCCATTTACTCAACAAAATAATTAATCAAAGCATGGTCATTATTATGCAGCTCATGGAATCACCATCAGGAAAGCTTCTGATGATGAATGTGTGTTGTTAATGCTAGATGCAGCTAGATGATAATTTATGTTAATCTAGTACCTTTCTTGAAATTTGATAGACTGAATTCTTTTAAATATTCTTCACGAGACACTGGCTGTCACTAAAAGTCACCTTATGATACGCTCTCAAATCTCATTTCTCAACTTTTCTGGTCTTGCAACTGAACAAGATGACAAGCAAGGTATGCAAGGGGGCAAAGGATATATTGGTCACCGTAGGTGCTGGAACTGTTATGACACTGGTCTTTCGATGTGATGGATTTAATTCAAGGACATCAACTTTCTGTGGTAACAGCAACACCAATATGAGGTAGGTTGATAGCTTTATTCTCACTTGTCAGATGGGGAAGAATATAAGTAATATGCTCAAAAATCACAATTTTATTGAGTGAAACACCTGGGCTGTTTGCCTAGGTTTGACTCTTTTCTATCATATAGCTCTTTCCAGAATTATTAGCAAACCATATCAAATACCTGAGAGTGATCAGATCTTGGGAGAGTAACAAGTACAAATGGCCTTTGTGTCTTTGCCACCTCCTTGTGATTCTTTTCAACCTTTCTATGACAGAGAAATGTCTAATGTTCAATGTCTACTCTGCATCTTTTGCTTTTTTTAACTATCACTTTCTCTTTTTTATATTCTAAAAGTTCACAAATATGTAAATTTAAAAATATACGTTCTAGAATTTAAGGGAATGCTTACAAAGTCTGTTTTGCCTTTGCCAGAGGATATCTTTTTTTTTTGGCTGAAAGTATAAAAAAATTGAGTCAAACATAGAGAATAAGTGTTTATCTACTATATTTCACACTACCTAAAATTGTTGAATTGATAATTATGATTGTAGAAAATGTAGTTATGGATTACTATCCAGAATATTTTAATAAATGAAAAGCTTTTACTGGAATATTTGACTAAATTTTTCTATTTGAAAGTATTTTTTGATTTAACAACATCCTACACTTATGTATTGTATTCTTTGCTTCAGAGCATGCTATTACCTGAAACATTGATGATGATCTTTTTAAAACTACATATTAACCCATACTAGTATCCGCTGGAATGTGACTTCCATGAGGCCAGTGACTTTGTGTGTTTGTCTACTGCCATATCTCCAGTTCTAGAGCAGTATGTGGTCCATAGTAGATAGACAATAAATGTACGTTGAATGAACAAATGAATGCACTGCCTATGTGTTACAGTCTAAAGTTTTCTATGTACTGTTAACATTTTGTTTTGGACATACACCTATCTCTCTAAATAGATTGTAAGTTATCATTTGGGCAAGGACTATATCCTATTATCATTTTTGTTCTAATATTAAAGTGATAATTGGGTTTAGAGTAGTTGGTTAATAATTACTCAAATTGTATTTACCTGATGATCTAGGATCTCAAAAAGTTATATAGTCACTCTTTATTTTGTCCTCTTGCTTATTCTTCAAGAATCAGCTTTGTTGCCAGTTTCTCCAGGAAAGGTACCCATACTCCATACCCTTACCCTCGGCTGAGTTCTCCAGTTATCATAGTACAGTACACCGTAGGCATCATGTTAGCACTGCACTGCCATGCTGTGTGGTTGTTGTCATTTTTAGTAATTGTTTTAAGGCTTATATTTTACTTAGACAATAATTTCTTGAGTGTAGTAAGTATATCTTTATTCATCTTTATATCTCCAAAGATGTTTGTTAAATGTCTGAACAATATCTCTGTTACCATCGTAATCTAAAAAAAAAAAATTTATGTGCTCGAGTGTGTGGTGCTAGGTATAAAATAATGCAAGTTAAGGGACCTTGTAACTGCTTTCAGACACTAAAGTTAATTGTTGACACTATGTTACATGAAGGTCAGCTTTGGGTGGAAAGAGAATTTTGTACTTCCAGACAAGTAGGCAACCATTTACTGCAAATAATAACGACATATATTTACACATAATATGTGCACATGTGAATCTAAGTAACTCAGACTGACTTCTCACCTGTGCAGCATTTTGGTGGCTGCTGACTGTGCAACACTGAGCCAGGAGGATGCTTTGTGTTTTCTTAGGGGAGACTTCCTGAATGAGCGGACAGTTGATAAGTATGTGTTGAAAAAAATGTCGCCAAACTTGAAGAAAATATACATGTATGATTTATGCGTAGAGATAGAAATAAAAGCAGTTGTCAAGAAAAGTTAGGAATAATTATTTTTAAAAATCTAATCGTAGAAATGGACCTAACTAACTTCATTTAAAGAAAACCCCTGATTTTCAAGCCAAGTAGGAGCCCTTTTGCTAATATCCCTGAATTAACGTCTCAATGAATAGTTAGGTTTTATTGTTTGGTTGTTATCAGTTAGAATCAAACGATCCAAGAAGGCATAAAAACCTTTCCGGGCCCCAGAAGTTGGGCAATTGGA